AGCACGTGCTGGAAAACAATGAGCAACTTTACCACGGCAAGCGGCGTCAGCATCTCTGCAAGGTGTGTTCAGTGCTGGCACCTTTAAAAGCCAAAGGACTGGAGACGATTTATTTCTGCAAGGCTTGCTGGGAAGCTTTTGACGGTTACGTACCGCTCTGCAATCGTGTCCGCCGTGAAGAAATCGGGAACAACCTCACGTGCAGCCAAATCTGGCACACGACGTGGAATAACGGCACCCTCATTCCACCCCACCTAAAGAAGCGCCTACGCTTCAGGAAGCGCAAACGTGCGGATAGTTCTAGTGATGAAGACGACGTAGAGTAATAAGCATACGGAATCGAAAGCTATACATCGTGGTACTTACCAGTTTGACAGCACACCAAATTTTTCAGCCAGTTCCTCTCTACTTCTGTCTCTGTAGTTAGGAACTGGCTGAAAATTTGGTGAGCATCGCGCAGTGTGCGGCGCGTGGCGCAGCCATCCAAATTGGCGCTCGAAGCTTGAGCGCAAACTTGCTAGTGCCAATCAGATTCAATGGGACATCAACTTCACCAGTAGAATCAATTTATACCCATCTCTCAGCCAATAGAATTGCGTTTTAACTTCAAATTCAACACGTTTCTGTCTAACCTCGTAGTATTTCTGTGCAAATTGTCAGGGTCTATCACACACCAACTGCGAAAGGGCTAGTATGAAGAAAATGCTCTTAGTTGTCGAGGTTTACTTTAATCAGTAGTGTTTTTTATTCCGTATGATACAGAATAAATCTTCGTCTTAGATGGGTTAAGCTGTATAAGACACGTTTAGAACTCTATACTTAATTCTTGAATGGGCTCTTACGAACTTGACGTCAACGACAGTTAGGCATGTACAGTATCAACATCGTTCCTGTGTATCCGTGCAGAGTTAATAAAGGAATGATGTGGTGCACGCCAGAGGCTGATAAAGAATTAAAGTCCATTCCTTGCTCATTTCAGATTCAGTTAGACACACAATTCGCTGCCTCAGAAAATGGCATTCCAAGCGCGTAGGAGAGAGCTGAAAAAGCTAGAATGGAACTAAAAGAAGCAAACCGACCTCTCCTTGCATCACACGTACCTTAAGCCGGGTAAGACGAAGAGTAGGTGGAGAACGTTGACTACTTCGTCGGAGAAGAAGCTCTAATGAGGTATCTGGACCGCTGTGACCTCGGTAAGCTTGTTGTTAATTTGTAATGCTATCTGTCAGTGGCTTGTTGGAGTATTGTATGAGCAGAATTAACCGCCTCTGCAAAGCGGAAAGCCCGAGAAGTCTATTCTGAGACTATTGCCACTCAGAACGCGCCGAACGCTAATAAGAAGGCGTATTTATCGGACGTATGCGAGCCGAGCGCTTTGACAGTAAGCAATAACCCTCCTCGTGCTGCGGATGCTCGCAATTTAAGCGCGGTTGATCAAGGCGCTGAGTTGGGGACTCAATCGAAAGGTGATATGATAATGTATGTATTATACACTCTACGACACTAACACTATCTTGTATTGTACAGGTCCTGACTCGAACGTCGATCTCACCACTTCTGGTAGAGACGGTGCTTATCCGAAGGCTATAGTCCGTAGAGCTAAGGGACAAGGTGGCGACGCTGGAGTGCAAGATGCCGACTTCGTGCCTGCTGTTGCCGCTCCGAATTCCAGTGAGTACGAGGATGGTGGTGGCCCGAATTCGAATACCGCCGCGTGCACCGATCGAGTCGTAGCCCGTCAATCAGCTTCCAGCTTAGTCAGCGGGTGCTTCACAACACCATGCGCTGCGGCAATGCCACGGTCATAGGTATTTCGCCCGGCGTGTGGACCTGCTAAAGCAGCGTCTAACCCCGAAGATCGCTACAACAAACGAGCTTCGACAGTGGTTATGCCTATTAGCGCTAACCAGGTGGGTATTTGAGGTCCACACGACCGCTCAGGCCATAACTGAAGCGGCAGACGTTGGATGCGCTTCCTGTGTGGGTAACACAGTACCACACTCAGTCGCCTAGACTATAACGAAAGAGGAAGGCATTGAACCATGCTTCCTGTGTGGATAATACAGTGTCACACGAGGTCTTGAGTGCCTCTGATGTCGTTCACGAGACATTACGACGTAGATAACGAAGTGCCGCGTCACGAAAACCGTCGCAAGTCGGATCTGAGCCTTGTTTAGACTGACGTCGCTTCAAACGACTCGGGGTCCGAGCCCGGACTCCTCTGACACGGTCGGTACACATCAACTCTGTCCGGTGTGTATGGGTCACACCAGCCGATACCAACACCGAAAGTCGCGCACCGTATGGGCTTCGACAGAGGTGGCGCTGAAGGGTATTCACCAAGTGGGTAATATAGGTTCAAGTTGAGGATAACAAGTTCCGCAGGCAGCGAAGCTGTTTATGGAGGCCCACATTCGGTGCTCCGAGCGTGGGTAGCAGAGCTCCACGCAAGGTCACTCAGACCATAGCTGATAAACAAGTCGCTGTTTGCGCTTCTTGTGTGGGTAACATAGCTCCACACATCAAGGGTAAGGCAGCTTCGCAACCAAGGTGAGTAGCAGAGCTCCACAACCAAGGCGGGTAGCGCAGTTCCGCACAGGGCTGGATACCTTCGGTCGACACGTTCGCCGCGGCCATCTATGCCGGCGCAGTGCACGAGACGAATAGCCGTCGTGCCTGCCAGTGGCTATAATAAGCAACGGAAGACTCCGTTGTCTCACGGTTATGTGTGTGTGTGGGGGGGGGGGGCTCGAAACTATCTTTCTCTCCCTAGTCACCAATTTCCTTACGGAAGCAGGCGTCGATGTACATCGACTACAGGCTGGAGGTGAGTTGCCGGGTTAGATCTGCGGTAGCTCTAGCCAAACAAGACAGAGTGGCGACGGAAGCCACTAGCGCTAGGTGCCTCGGAATCGCTGAGCAAATCAGCCGTGTTGTGGCTGCATGCAGCCATACACGAGGCGAAACGCCGACCTGGTGCAATCACCGCACATGTCCCTTGGTCATGAACGACCTGTCGCGTAGGATGAACGGAAATTCTCACCAGTCAAGGCGTTGTGGTACGTGATGTACGCAATGCACAGTGTATAGTGAGCCGTGAATCCATAGCCCAAGTGTGGTGCACGAGTGCGCACACAGCTGACCAGGTGCTGGTCGACGATCATGACACCGTGGTGATGGCTGCTTGCCTCACCACGCTCTGATACCGCATGAGTACTCGGTGTCAATACCAGACTCTAACGCCGCAGTGGCATGGTGCAGGGATGCGGCAGAAGCTGGTTCTGCAAGACGCCATATGTGACGGGGTCACACAGTGCCTTGCACAGAGGAAGTGCCTTTGGGTATTCACCACCCGAATGGACGTTAGTCCACGCGTCCCCGGCCTCAGCGGGAACGGTTATACTTGGAACGGTAGATGTTAGACTTATATATTTATAAGTAATCTTAGCTTGGGCTTTGTACAAACTAGAGGTCACCTATGGTGAAGCTATGTAGTTATGCCATGGCTGGCTCCTAGAGCACCTGGTACACGGTACCAGGTGTCCACAAGAGTGATGGGTCGCTCTTTGCATAACCTGGTGTATAGTGGATTGTACCCTGTTACACTCTCCCCCACTTAGCTGAGAATCACCTGATTCTCCAATCATAAGTGAGAGAATCAAAACACCTAAATGTGAATTCTCACGCAGAGCAGCCACGACACTGTCGCGTCTCTCAGTAACACCCACAGTGAATTGTGCTCTCAAAGCACACTGAATTTGCATCCCAATGATCACAACGATGCTGACCGCAAAGTCTACACTCAGAGCTGCGTTAGCCCCTGCGCAAGCGCGCGTACAGTGCTTTGACGCAGGGCGCAATGCCATTCGAGCGTGTGGCATTCGCCCACGGCTCGCGGAGGACACGACAGTCCTCGCGAGCGCGTCCGGAGCAAGGTGTCTCCCGCGAAGGACGACATCGAAAAGGGCAACACTTGCCCTAGCACAAGAGGGGTCTCTCAGCTCACCTCGGAACATGCCTTTGGCTCCAGCAAGGATCCATCCTTGCGGGCGAAGCTTCTGCCACGCTTCTCTTCGCGTCTTGGTTGTCATATTAATGGCGTGTAGGTGTCCTTCATCGACACCGTATACCGTGATGGTACTCAGTCGTGGTGTATGTGTCTCCTATCGACACCGTGTACCGTCCGATACTAACCTTTGGTGCAGCACAAGGCTGCCATGTTTGGCAGCAACAACTTCTGCTGTGCAATTGCCTGAGCTGATCCACGGCCAGTGCTCACACCATGCACGACGCATGTGCAAGCACGGTGTACAGGTCCATGGGCCCGTACACAAGGTACGCTGTGTACGACACGTGCCACAGCTCTCATAAATGCTCCATGGACTTCATGCGCGTCATGCACGACTAAATCACTTAGCGGAGGTTCCGGCAGGTTGTTCAACAGCAGCCAGTGCCGATGCACAGTACGTGCATTGACTCACAGATACGCGCAGAGCAGCTTCGGGTCGTGCTATGGGTATATCCTTTGCACCCATACCAGCGTCTGTCATGAACACCATCTACCTTGATTGTACTCGCCCGTGGTGGGGGCATATTGCCGCTATACCACTAGCGTGGTGGTGTCTGATACCAACACCTCGTAACATGATGGTACTCGACAATGTGGCTAGCTGATTCAGCGTGAAAAACGTTTTATGTGACTAAATTTGCGTTGCAAATCTCGCACAATCGGTCGAGATATCCAGAAAATTCAAGGGTGTGCTATTCTTTTGGCCACGAGTGCATATTATTTTACATTATTCCGAAGCTTCAGCGTAGTATATGCTTATGGTAGGCGACATTGAACATTGGGCCAGAAATTGTAACCCATACTATACAGACTGTAAAAAGTCTAATAATTGTCTGTTTGATATAAATAAAAGTGCTATATATAGCTTAGTGTCTTGAGAGGGCGGTAGAACACATCAATTAGCCAGAAGCATCCTTTAAGGTCAGCGAAGATGTCCGGCAAGCACGAGTTCTGCCCAGGAGAGAAGCGGATGATTGTGAACAGCTACGAGTATATCAAAAGCCAGAAGGAACAAGGCCTCTTCAAAGGCATCAGGACACATCAACTGGTCTCTGATTGCCTTGGTTGTGCTCCCAACACCGTTGACTCCGTGGTTAATGAGAAAAAGAATAACCCAGACACTGATTTTGAGGTATATCAATTATAACTGATTTTGTAACATTTCCTTTTTAAAAACTGATATTTGTACAAAGCCCAGTGAAAACGACAGAGGTCGAAAGCGAGATTATGACCTGACGGATATCGAGCCTACAATCCGTCAACGAGAAAATAAAGCTGTTAGACCAACTACAGCTACTCGCATTAGCCTCCATCTGCAAGAAGTGACAGGGACCCATCTTGCTGATCGTACAATGCAACGAGTTTTATGTGAGCTAGGTTTTCGCTACGTGAAAGGTGAAAACAGGCACATGTACGCAGATTTTGAAGCAAATGTTGCTTTTCGTAACGAGTATCTAAGGAAAAAAATTGCGAATCGAGTCGGTGACGCAGTTGATCGACCAGAAGTTTATTTGGACGAAACATTCTGCAATGCAAATCATGTTCGCGGCCAGACGTGGCTCTCGTCAGATAATATTCGCTACAGCAAAAGTAGAAAAGGCGACCGGTATTATGTTTTTTTTTTACTTTTTGTGATTTTACTGACTGTTTTAATAGTGCATGAATTGTTGCGGCAGATATTGTAGCAAGTAGGGGGCGTACAACCTACGCCAAGTTTGTAGAGGGGTCTATACAATGCTGGAACGCGTCAAAAAAGTGAAAGCAAGATGAAACCGAGGACTATCATGGCAACTTCAACTCTGAGTTGTTTGAAGCGTGGTTCGAGAAGTTGTGCAAGACGTTGGAGGACAATTATGGTGGCTGTAACATCCACATGGATGGCGCCGGATATCACAAGCGGATGACCAACTTAATGCCAACAACGAAGTCACTGCGAAGTTGGCTCGAAGCTCAACTTAATACAGTCGGAAAGTTTTATTTTTTTAAATAATGAAAATCGCTAATTATTTATATTTTTCTCAGCCATGTTGGTTTACAACCGAGCTGCCAACAGAGATGTACTGCTCAGTTTGGCCAAACTCAACAAACCGAAGGCCGTTTACGCAGCTAACACCATTGCAACACGCTACAACCATCGACTGTACTACACGCCGCCTTATCATCCAACTTTGCAGCCGATCGAGCTTATTTGGGGCTTGTTGAAGAATAGGATTGCGGCAGATCCACCGCCGACGCAGTGCAGAAGGTACTGTGTGGTCGAGCCAAAATTACACCAGCTGACTGGCTCGCTCGATTTCGACACGTGCAGAAGATCGAGGACCAGTTCGTCGCTCTTCAGAAGGAATTAGAACAGTAGATGATAAAAACAAAACAAAATCCATGTACCTTTATAATTTTTTCACCATCCTGCTGGCAGAATTGAATGTTAAATCGACAAGGGCAATCTGCGACCGGGCGATGTGTCATCTTCCTTTTTGACATATGATTATGATTCTAGACCAACCATATCTGTGTATTTGGCGCGCCTTTCCCCCGAAAATGACAGTGTTCTGAGAAGGCATTTTTAAACGACTGTAGCCCCAAAACGGCTGGGAATTGGCTAAAAATTACCACAAAATCGAAGTCTAAACGCATGATTGCACCCTATATCTAAATGTCGATATAGGTTTTCCTAAATGTAGACCTCTTATGCCTCTCTAGATTCTGGCCCAATGTTCAATGTCGCCTACAATAGCCCACTCCACACCTTATCAAAACTGGGGGGAGTATAGCCAATTCTCGAGTTTCGTACGGTAGGCCAGCAACGAAACGTCCTACCACTTGATCGCCTGCTGCTTCGTAGCGACATGCGTGTCCTGAACTCTGGGAAGATTTCAACAGCAAAATACACCTTTCAAATAGATACAAGTTAAACAAAGGCCACTACAGCACCCAGAAACGTAGAAAGTAGAACTTTTTCGCGCTGGATGCGATCCAAACTCAAAAACTACTTGCCCGTTTCTTCTGCTACAGAGTGTAACGAACCAGGTATATACTCTGTTACTTGCTTAGATCTATTATTAGCCAATTCGACAATGGTATGTATTTGAGTGGCCTGGGCTGTGTGTGACCTTGGCCCTAAGATAAAGTCAGAATATAATTTTCCTTAGACCTAATACTCAGTCGTCCTATTGCAAGCTTCCGCAACACTATAGTGTACTTCGCTGTAGCATTGACGTCATTGCCAGCAATCCGGTTAGTGTCGAGGACAAACAAGCGAGGACCCAGCAGTTGGTGTCGCCAGGTGCATATTTCGTGTCGAACAGAATGGCGGGGGAGGTTTCGCCAACTTCGTCAGCGTGTGAGAGTGGCTCGGGTCAAGGCTGTGAAGTGTACATCACGGACACTTCGCAGTGCGGTTAAGCGTGGAATGCTTAGCTCGCTTGTAATTCAAGAGAAAAAAATATTTTATCCCGGCACCCGTGTCCAATCCGAGCAGCTGTCAGCTCGAGTTTGGGTACCCCTGTTCAATCTGAAACCGGGTACCCGCTACAAGCTCTCTGGATATTAGTCCGGAGTATCTCCAGGGACGACACTCGACTTCTTCGGAAAGGAACAAGGGCACTTACCCGAATTCATGCCAGTCAACCACCCCTACGAAGGCATACCAAGCGTTTCCGTTGCAGGAGGCAATTTGCTCAGCCGGGCTGTAGCAGGTAAGTTCTCACATTGTGTCGGCGAATCTCATCCTGTACACGCGGGCACGGCTTGCTTATAACTCGGACTATATCCAAAGGGTCGGCCTCAGTCGTGGTAGCTAGCAAAAATGCGACACTATTCGAAGACTGGGAGTGTAGCTTAAGCAAGCCCTCCCGCGACATCGCACGATCTCGACGAACCAGCCGAGAATCTGGTTCCGGGGACACGGAAAACGGTCTGGAGGCGACGTCTTCACTTTGACACAGAGAAAATAGCTGGGGCAGTAGGGCGCCGACCTTCAACTTTCTGCGGAGCGTGACATCTCTCTTGATCGCTGCATTATACGTCTCGCATGGATTGTTCGTTCGCGCAAAACCACTCGGTGTATGGAAGCTTTGCCAACGTCACACCCTCTCGTTCTTTGAGAAATACGAAGAAAATTTTGCCAACCTCGGAGTTTTTAACCATCTCGGTTGAGCTTCTCATAGCTTCACAATATAGGCCGCCTCATCCGTCGGGAAATGGAGCTCATGAATGTCTTTCATGACAGAGGAGGCCGCAACAGGCCCCAACGAGCGAGTTTTCTCGTACACCTTCTTTGCCAAATGAAACTAGCACATCAGAAACGAATTCCCAACCTTGCCCAAACACGTCGCTCACCACCTTCCATTGGGCAGCGTCAGCATCTCCCATCACGTAGCACACCCTGAATGATTTACCAGCTGCGGTTTGGATCATCTTCCACACGAGCGCACGCACCTGATGAAGTGAAGCTGTTGCTGTTGCGGGACAACAATATTGTCAACAAACGAATTCGTCTTGCCCGGTTAGAGATCCCGACAACAATACCCGCATAACCGACTTGAATGAGCTTGTATGTCGCGTCCAAGTGAAAGATGAAAAATTCTGGATACGGTCGGCACGGCGTAGGAGTTTCTTTGAGCTAACACCGACCACAAACGGATCAGTGTCACTGCCATTGCCAGGTATCAGCTTGCCGTCCGTATCACTGCGACTCGTGAATGTGAGCGGAGCAGTTTCATCTTCCTGTCCCGTAAACCCTGATCCCTTGATTTTCCTGCGCTCGAAGTCCGGGAGGTCACTTATCCCAAGCCGTCCTGTAACATAGTGATGCCCGAATCGCTGCACAGCTGATAGAGAGGGCGCAGTCGCCTCGGTCATGTTAAAACGCTGAAAGAGTGCATCATAGATGCGCTTGGGCCGCTCAGTCGTTCACCACCTCCTTCACTGGTGGGGATAGCACTAGCCTGCGTGCTGAGTGGCATGGGGATATGCCTTCTCGAACGTCACGAAGCCTTGATCTTGACAGGACATGACCCCGGCTCGCCACGGACACTCTTAGGCCGCCATTACGTCTGCGCAAGCCTTACACGCGCAATGTAGGCGCTAACTTCTTATGAGATGCGGAGCAGAGGCCATGCATACGGAGCACGGGGCCAGCTCACTCCTCACCACCCTAGTCTGCTTGATCCCATCCAGAAAGCTCGCTGCCTGGGCGCATGGCATTGCTGGGGCGAGAAGCTGCCAGGGCAGACAGAAACTCAATAGATAGCTCGATGTTCGACCACCCAGCGACATTGCCGTATACATGAACGCCTTGTCGAAGCGGGTGGGCCTCGCCCCAAAGTTTGCGCCCAAAACAGTGGCGCATCACTTTGCTCTCCCTCGTGACATCGGGCTTGGTCGATGGTCGAGTCTTGAAAACGAGGGAAGGCTCTCGTTTTGAGCCGTCTCTTGCGACCAACAGCATTGCAGTCATCCTCTCCTTGCTTTCCTCTGCGCACTTCGCCCATACAGTCGTGGCCCCGCGAGTAGTGATTGTAGAGATGGGCACATACTCATAGCTGACATCTAGAAGATAATGTTATTCTCGCGTCTGGCACGCTGTACACACCGGAAAACGCGGAATCAAATTTTTAGATTCGCAGCCGCCAAAGCCGTTTGGATTTTTTCCCTTGTTCGGGTAACATCGCATTGTGCGAGCGCGATGACGTCTAACAAACACCAAAGATCGACAAAGTTCAATGCACAACTATTTTCCGTTTGACCCACACTTGCTGAACAAAGTAGGCGGTGGTGCCTCTGGCGGCAGTGGGGACTTCCATCAAAGGTAAATTTTTGATGCCTTATCTAGACCAGTGCTAGGTAAACATGTATTGGCAGCGCTTTTTACTAAAACATATCATTGCAGTGTGCATTGCAATACATGTAGTTTGACCAAAGCCGCAGTTAAGGAATGCAATATTCACTAAGGCACATAGATTCGATATTGCATTTCTGAAGCAGCCCGAAGGGCATCATAACGAGTGGCTGTATGGGCGCAAGCCGCTCCAGCAAAATCATGTAGCGATTTGCGAAGTATAGGCAGCTCTTGAAGAGCCTGTTCTGTATACCCTAGGGCTGCTTCGGTTGAAACCAAGATCAGCACTGCCGATTGTATGATAAAGTTTTTTTTTAAATAAGGATAACTATGCAGCTCTAGGTTAGCACATTCGTATCCATACTTCACATTATCAGCTTTTGCTCGAGAGACTCTGCAGCGCAGTAACGTAAACCTGGAAAAATTACTTCAATAATCTATTGCAATATTTTTCTCTTATGCAATTTTATTAATGTATAGAACTTCCAGTTGCAATACACATGCTTTTAATAAACACTACTAGAACAAAAAATTGCCATAAAAAGGCCAATATTCCTTTTTTCCAAGTCCGCATCGTCCGGGACCCGTAAGTACAGTACCGAATTATCGTAGTCCTAGGGGACGTTTACTCCTAAGGGTCACCAACGAATTAACCAATCGGATCCTTCGATTGTAATACAGATGGCTCCATTACTTACGATAAGGTTCATTCTAATTTTACTTCGGCGGAAGCTAAAAGAACGGAGCCCAACACCACAAAGAAAACGGAAGGCCGTCGAAAAGTATGGTTCGCCCTCGCATCAATGGACCAGGAAAGAAGCAGAAGACCTATCAACGTAGGGCAGTAGAGTATGCGCATAAGAGAGACGTCCTCGACTACATTGACAGCGGTCACAGCCTTGACGAGACAATTTCACAGTTCTACGGCGACTTAAGTGGCTCCGACATTCGTGCTAAGAAAAAACAAATTCACAAGTGGAGCAAGCAGGCTCCAACTATACGTGCTGCATGTGATTCTGGGCGGGGGTGCCACCGAAATCTGCGCGGACTTGGTGAAGCGACTGTGCTCACCAAGGAGGCTGAACGCGCTATCGTAGTGTGGGTGAATTCGCTGCGGAAAGATGGTGCCCCTGTCTCCCGTCTCATGCTTCAACTGCAGGCAAAAGAAGCAGCTGCAGACATTGGCCTTGAAGGCAAATTTGCAGCCACATCAACATGGGTTAAGCTATTTCTTCGTCGCCATAAATTAGCGCTCCGTGCACGTACCAGGCAGGGACAGACGACGCCACAGGATGCTCAAGATGCAGCTACGACATTTCGAGCGCTGGTGCTGCAGACAATCGTCGAAAAGAAGTGTGTACAAGTATACAATGCTGATCAGACGGGTAATATTTTTATTTATTTTAGTTTTAAAATATTTTTAATGACTTTTCTTCTTGTAGGTGTGAATTTTGAGTATTTACCAAAACAAACCATATCTCAACGTGGAGTGAAAACTGTTTGGGTAAAATGTGCAAATAAAGAGAAGGCTCGAGCTACAGCTATGCTTTTGGCGGACTGGGAAGGCACAAAATTGGCTCCATTCATAGTGTTCAAGTGTCAACCGTCAAAAATTAAGGAAAAAGGGAAGAGAACCACACTCTGCGCCATGGGTTTAGCCTGACTATGTGGACCCGTGAAATTAATCCACTTCAAGAGCGCTACAATTGTCAAATTTACGGGAACCAGTGCGCATGGTGGAATTCTGATTTGTCTCTGAGATTTCTCAAATATCACTTTGCTGAGCGCACGAACCGAGATGACCACATTTTACTCATATGGGACAATTTCAGCGGGCATTGGACCCCTGAAGTTGAAAAATATGCAGCGTCTATTAACGTTATCCTACTTAAAGTACCGCCGCGTTACACGTACGTATGCCAACCGGCAGATACTTCGTGGAATAACCCCCTAAAAACTAGGCTGCGAGGTCTGTGGATCAACCGGCTGAGAGACCAACTTGTTGCGTATCGAGCCAAGGAGAAGCAGCGCCAGGAGAAAAGGGACAAACTCCAGAGAGATATTATTCGTGTGCGCAAGGATCTAGTGCAAGAGGAAGCAGAGTCTGAAGTTGAGCGACTTCGGAAACAGCATACAGAAGAGCCCTTTAAATTGGAGCCCCCAAAAAGAGAAGACATTACGGAGTGGATATCAAAATGCTGGAATGAGCTTTCAGAAACGACAATTGTTAGTGGATTTGCAAAAGTAGGCATATTGGCTGATACTCGCCATGCTGAGCAAGATTTTGACTCATATCCGGGACATATTGATAGCGAGCTTGTCCAAGAGCTGGAAAAATGCAATTTAACTGATGGTCATGTCGACTCTGACGATGATATAGAGTCTGAAGCTGGTACCGGTAGTGATAGCGGTAGCGAATGCTAAATGGTACAGTAATTTGCAGTGAATGCTTCGGTAAAACTATGATTTGCATTCATATGTCGGTGCTCACGATTTGCATCCTTTGCTATTGAAGTGACGCCTAGGACTACGATAATTCGGTAGTTCGGGTTTCTCATTTGCGAACAGAGGCCGATTCTCTGGAAGCCCTCCGAGACGATAGTAGTCTTCGATTTCTTGGTGCGCTTGGGCAGCAACTTATTTTCGCACACAAGATTTGCTGTAAATATGCTGAAGTAGCGCCGTCAGTAACGATCACTAAGTGTAATAGAGCTAAGAACTGCGAATCCACGGCCGCAGACCAGTATTTAGAGGGAATTTAGCCCCCCCCCTTGAACATGAAAAGGCTACTTTTTAGATTAAAAATGGTTTTAGGAATTATAATTGCTTTTTAGAGAAAGCTCGAATTAAAAGAAAAAAAGATGGTCTCGAGGACTCATATTCTTCGTCGAGATTCTCGAGTTTAAAATGTCCACTCGAAATCGAAACGCTCATTTTACTTCTCCAGCCTCGTATTAATACCGGTATGTGTCTGAAGATTCATATGATTGGCTAAATTAAGTACATAGCGTTTTTTCGAAAAGTGTATTTTGTCTTTTCTTTAAAAAAAAAACACTTTTCGCGACAACAATGGACGTTCCGGATCTGTCTTTCTTCATGGTGCCGCCTCAAGTACCCCAGAGTTCCATTGACGTTGCAAACACGGCTATTACATTGCTAGATGATATTAATGCTGCAACCACGATTTCAGCTTCCACCAACCCCGCTGCTACAAGAAAACCCAAGAAAAAGCGCAGCCACACGACCCCAACACGAGACCGTGAGCGTCGTGAGCTCCTTGCGTTGCGTGTAGAGTCCGTAGAGCTCGAAAAACAGCTACAACAGGCTCGAGATCATCTTGCAACTGTGCGAAAGAAGCGCCAGGAGGAAATTGCATCTCGCAGCAGCAGAATTGTCAGTACAGTGCCAGCTTGGAGGCACATTGCAAGACGTCACTTGAGAGCACGACAAGAAGCCGAGAAAGAAAACCGACGGTTGAGAGAACAACTGGCGGAGCATCTCAAGTGGAGCAATGCCTTGCAAGTCAAAGTGAGCCAGAGAGGGGGCGGAGAAGACGAGAATTCGACGCGTGCCGCCGCTACAGCCGCAGCGCTTGGGACTGTGGCGAACCCGTTGTTGTTGGCGGAGGATGAGGAAGGGATTACAGATTTGGAGCTGGAATTAGATGATACAGACCGAGCGGAGCTGGACATGCTGGCTAGCGGCCTGGATTTGGCGTTTGCACGGGTGGATGATGTCTTCAAGGAGAACGCGGTGAGTGGAGTCCCGCTTGGTGCTGTGTCTGGGAGCAGGACGATTTTGGAAGGAGAACAGGCCAACGAAATGTCTACAGTGGAGCTAAGAGATACGAGAGTGATCCCTTTTGACTTCAAGCTGGCTATCGATGCCACGTGGAACGCGTGGGTGTTGTGGCATCTCGGAGGAAGCTGTCGGAAGAGCGTGTCGGCGCATCGGAGCTGCTCGTATCCTGACGTATCGAGGCCGGAGCATACGTTTGCAGTCAAATTCCGTCTGCAGACGCCAGCGTCGAAACTTCCACCTAGCACTGACCCGATGTTTCTAGATCTGAAGCTTGTATTGAGGAGATACGTGGAGCAGAATCGCTTGGTTCTGATATGGCGAGGACTCTCGGCGGGTGAAAATGACCTTGACGGTTTGTTTACAGACGAAACAGGGTGGGTCGTTATCGAACGAATGGCTCCCTTTCAACGGTCTTTAGAGGGTGGAGGTGACACAGTCACTGCAGCAGCCAGGACTTCCATGAGGTCGTGTGTACGTATGACGCCGAAACGTGCAGCAGATTGCGAAGCGACCTCAGTACAAGGACGTATCTTGACGAATCTGGTTGTAAATTCTTACGAAGAAGACGTGAGTTTCATTTACCGAGAGATGGAAGCGCAACTATTGCGATTGACACGACATGCATGATCTTCTTCAAGTTTATTACAGTACTACAGTAAAACTCATTTTTAGAATCAAGAATCCGTCACCATCGTTTTTAGAATAAGAAACGTTCTAAGGTACTACATATTAGGTTTTCATTGCACGGTACAGTTTTTACCTCGAGGTAAAAACTGTACCGTGCAATGAAAACTTAATATGTAGTACCTTAGAACGTTTCTTAGGTGATTACATCAGCTAGCGCGTCATCAAGTAGCATCTTCTCCAGAGCCTTCATAACTGTGAAGTTCTCCTCCTCTCCCGTCCGCACGACCATGTCTGTAAACTCATTGACGACAGGTGTACACGTCGAGGAATTGCTAAAATGCATGGGCACGTTCCGGAAACACGTGTCAAGAATCGTCCCCGTGGCGTCACTAGTGGTGGACGGTCGAATGACGCCCCATCCCGTTTCGTCCGAATGCATCCCTCGGAACAGTCCTTCGCCTTCTGTAAACACTTTCCAGACCACCACGACTCGGCTGATCTCCTGATATCGACGAACCACAACTCGCTGTAGCAGCGACACCGTTTCGCCCATTCGACGACTTGTGACGCGAAACTTCATCGCCATTGTGTTCTCCGGGTCTTCTACGCCTTCGTAGATCTCTCGGTCTTCTTGCCGGTGCTTGAGTTGCGCCAAATGCCATACTGAATTGCACGTCCGCTGGAACTTGAACGGCATTGTTTGTCGCTCAACGTGCTGGTAGTACTCTGTCGCTCCGTCCTTGTGCTTGGTGATGGACGGAGTCTCCGCCTGTTCGCATGCTTTAGTAACTTCATCCGTTTGTAAGTAAACAGTGTGAAGCTCCTGAATGAACGTCTCAAATAGAGCAGAGTCTGTTGGCTCGAGACGCATTCGCTTTTGCAGTCGAGGGGCGTCTTCAAACTCGCTGTTAGTAATCGATCCGTCGTGAACGCGCTTCCTCAGGAAGCCACACAAGTCTTCGATTAAAGTGGCACGTGAGGTGATTGCTGCTCGAAGATGCAGTTGCTCCTCTTCAGCAGCGTCTCTGTGGTCTTTTTGTCGACTAGCAATTGCTTTCCACAAGCAACTCGACAGCGCGTCGTCGGTAGACGGGGACAAGCTCCCATCACCTGGCGCGTCCTGTAACTTGTCGAGTCTCGCTGACAATTCGTCGATTTCTCGACGTAGAGCTTCCTTTTCGGCCTTCTGGCGCTTACGGTATTCGCTACGTCGTATGGCATCTTTCGATCGTTGTCGGTGCTGCTCAGTCGCCACAGCGGGTGGCTTTGCGTTGTCAGAGCTAGTGGGAGCTGGTGCTATGTTGCTGAGGGTAGGAATGGTCTCCAAAGGCAACAAGTCGGGAACCGACGAGTCGAAGAGAGACCCAGTGTCACCCAATAGAGTATTTTGGTCCAGATCACCCAATGTTAGTGCTGTAGGCAGTGCGAGCTCGTCGGATGCCTGGATGAAGTCCATTAACTCGTCGAGCACGAAGCCATCCATATTTTCGAGGCTTGTCATCTTGAAAAGTGACACCTAAGACTCAGTCTGCGTCTCTTATTAATAGACGAGAAAAAATATACGGCCGGTTTCGCAAGCGGGTAGGGCAGGGAAAAACCTGCAGATGGGCTGAGTGAACAACAGCCACACGCGCGCACGAGAGTGTTTGTCAGCGGAATAATCAGTATCATGTCGGACCGACATTGGCGGTTGCCCAGAGTGTTAGGTTCGGTGTGGCGTATTCCTGCCATACCCATTGCACTCGAATATTGTATTTTGGTGAACCTAAGAGTACAAATACTGTAGCCAGGCACTTGCATGGAGTTAACTGGCTAGTTCATGATCCACATGCAGTATTTAATGGTGCTGGTAAACAACTTATGCGCAGAGTTTGCCTACGTACAATTGCCAGTTGCATGCCATGTCTCGTTGCACACTTTTAATGGCAATGATTAAAGTACTTAATTAAGTAAAGCAATTTACCACCGAAAATGCAGCCGTTATAAATTATTTTTCGGAAAACATTGCTCATACGTTTAGCAAACTCCCAGCGCATCGTCCAGCAGTGTCTCTTCCAGCTTCTGCAAGCCTAACTGACAGATTTCCTCGCCATCTTTGACCAGCAAGTCTGCAAATTGTTTCACCATATCACCAGAGACTGCTGCTGTGCTGAAGTTGATCGGAACGAAGCGCGAGACCAGTTCCACAACGGAGCTAACACTTCCATTCACACGAGATGGTCGCACGATGGACCAGCCCGTTTCATCCGAGTGCATGCCAGCAAACACGCCTCCGCCTTCACTGAACTTCCTCCACACAAGGACGACCCGGTCGCCTTCGTTGAATCGGCGGACAACACAATGCTGGACGACCGAGCGTTTTCCCACATTTTCGATGCGGGATTTGGTTATTGTCGTGTCACTAGGAGCCCACGGCTCGTCAACCATTTCAAAGCCAGAGTGGAACTCCATACAGGTCACCTCGTGCAGGTGTTCACGCACTCGTTCGTACGCGAACGGCGTCGAGAACAGCCCCACCAGTTCATGGTAATTGGCGTCTTTGTTGGAAGATCGCGGCGGATTGTAGGACAAGTGAGTATCCTCACAACTCTCTTTATCTATCTGCACTGCACTGGCCTTGAAGACCCTGTCCGTCTTGGCATAGATCTCATCTAGTTCGTCAATATAGGCTTCGTACAGAGCTCTATCCGGTGTCTCTGTACGTGGCCTTTTCACTGCGTACGCGGCATCTTCGAGTGTTTCCTCACTGATTCTCTTTCTGATAAGCACCCCCAGATCCCGAATGAGGGTCGATCTTCTCTTAATAGCCGCATGGAGTTTGGCACGTTGTTCTTCGGCGTTCAGTCGGGCTTGAAGATTTCTGTTTGCTAGCGCCTTCCATACTGCAGCTTGACTTACACTCATGCCTTCTTTGGCAGCTTCTTTTGTTGCCAGTAGTGTCGATAACTGGCTCGACAGGTCGTTTACCTGTTTGTACAGGGCTTCTTTGTGTGCCTTTTGCTTCTGTCTGTAGGTGCTACGTCGGATAGCGTCCCGGGAGCGGATATTGTCCGCCTCCGGGATGCATTGCGGAGGTGAACCTGAAGATGCGGAGTCACTGTCGGTGGCTACAGAGTGATGGTCTTTGTCAGCGTCCGATTTGTCAGAGACGCTGAACAGTCCTGCGAGAGCTGCGGCGTCGAGAACCAGAGGCTGCAGCGCTTGCTTGGGTGCATTTTTGTCAAAAGAACGGAGTAGATTATTGCCCGAGACGCTCGCGTCGTCAAGGTGGTGCAGTAGCCCCGCCACATCGTCCAGGAACATTGCGTCCGCCGTGCACCAGTTTTTTTTGTGGTAATTGCAAAAGTGCTAGTAGGGAAGGGCAACTTTGGTAAATAGCAACCGATTTCTTGCCAATCACATTTGCCTGGAGTAAACGGAATAGGGAAAGGGGAAAAAGTAAACTAGGAGTGATTGTCGCACTGTCTGCATAATCAGCCAAAAGGTTGTAAAGTGGCAAACACCAATTACCACAGATACACATATATTAACGAACGTTCGAGATGGTCAGCACACGCCCAGTGCATCGTCCAGAAGAAGAGCTTCGAGCTTCTGCAAGCAGGCATGGCAGTCTTCTTCACCGGCTGAAATGATGGTGTCGGTGAACTCGTTCAGCTTGCTACCAGCACTCGCCACGGTACTGAACGACATCGGCACGTAGCGAATGATCGACTCCATGACAGTGCCAGCGCCGTCTGAAGACGGTCGAATGATGTTCCACCCCGTCTCATCCGAGTGCATGCCCGCATACACTCCCTCCCCTTCAGTGAACTTTCGCCACACTACCACTATTCGATCACTTTCGTAGTACCGACGTGTGATGGCATGTTGCACGAGGGACCCAATTGCATTGCCCACACGGGCCTGAATCCGGAACTTGACAACGGTCGTGTCATCTGAAATACCCGGCAGTTGGATTCGCTCACAGTTAGCACGTTGCTCCATGCACTTGATTTGACCAACATAAGCTCGCACCCGGTCAAAAGGGAAGGGCGTTGTCGACTTTCCTGTCAGTTCGTGGTAGCTAGCTCTCCTGGACATTGCGCGCTTAAGGTTGTAAAACCCGTCGTCGTTCGGAGAAGCCTGGATTTCAGATTCTTTGAAAGTGTTATCGGTTCTGGCGTACACCTCGTCCAGCTCCTTGATAAAGGTCTCATACAGAGCCATGTCGGGAGACTCGACCCGAGCTCTTTTAAATGGCGAGTTAGCATGACACCCGTCGTTTTCCTCACTGATCCTCTTTCTGATAATAGTCCCCAGATCTCTGATAATAATCGACCTTCGTTCCACGGCTTCACGGAGTCGGCGTTGCTGTTCTTCAGCAACAAGTCTGGCCTGCAAGTGGCGGTTGGCAAGCGCCTTCCACACCGCCGTATGGGCAAGTCCCAAGCCTCTTCTGGCTTTAACAGCATCTTCCCTGCTCTGAAGTGCTGACAGCTGAGTCGACAGCTGCTCTACTTCCTTGTAAAGTTCGGCTTTCTCGACCTTTCGCTTCTGTCTGTAGGAGCTGCGTCGAATGGCGTCCCTAGAGCGGATGTTCTCCACCGGCACCTCGGTGGTTCGTGGAGAGGAGGTCGAGGCGATACTCTCCGTTTTCACAGACGTACAGTCACTGTCGGTAGCGGAGTGATGGTCTTTACTATCATCGTCCGAGGAACTGAAGAGACCTTCGATCGGTGACACGTCTAGCAGCTGCAATGCGATGTCCGTGTCTGGGAGGGAGAACAAAGGTTCTTCCTTATCGAGAGAAAGCAACAGATCGGCGCCGGAGACAGTCGGATCGTCGATATTGTGCAGGAAACCCACCACTTCGTCCAAGAACAGAGAGTCGGCCATTTTGAAAAAAAACCAGAATGATGACTGCTTTGTTTATTAATCACATTTGCGTAGCTACATGTACCGGTATGAACCGGCTCACTATCCGCTTACCGGTAATCAAAGTTATATGCCAAAAAAAAAATCTATTTACATGTTAGTTATAAGAGAGTGACTGTTTTTGCCAGACTACCAACACCCTACCCACAGCAAATCACTCATCCGTACTATTAATACCGTCTTACTTTGCATCAACCGCCTTTCAATTCGATTTGTTTTGCTGGGTCGAAGTGCATGGTACCCTCGATTTGAAGACATGCACAAATAGAACGCACACCTAACAGCATAAGTAGCAGATGCTACTACAGCACCCCTAACATGGTGGCTTTCAATGGTCCTCCATCCATTCGATTGTGTTGTCCATTGCTTTTCGACGCTGCAGCAGTATACTGTTTGTTCGACATTTTCAAATTACCATCCTAGACTATAATGGTCACACCGAAGAAAAGCAACAGCTACAGTCTAAAGTTCAAGTTGGACGTCGCCTTAGAATACAAGAAAAACGTCAAGGGACGCGGCTACCATGCGTTGGCAAAGAAGCACAAACTTTCGACGTCAATGGTCCGTGAGTGGGTCAAGGCGATTCACGACTTAAAAGACTGCATCACGAGACCATCAAAGTGCGACACGAACGCTTCGTCGACTACCAGGAGCAGGACGTAAAGCCCATTACCTTGTCCTCGAGGAGAAACTACACAACTGGGTCACAGAGAGAAACAAAAAAGGCCTCCGCGTGAAGGATGAATACATACAACTACAGGCACTCAATATCTACCGGTGGTTGCAGCTAGAAACAACACATTCAAGTGAAGAACTGTTCCACGCCTCTTCTGGTTGGCTTAGCAGGTTCAAAGATAGATTCAACCTCGTTTCTCGGCGCCATACTACCACGAGAACGCTACCGGCCGACGCAAAAGACATTTGTACACAATTCATCCAGAAATCACAGCAACTAATTGAGCAGCACAATATCAAACCATCTAACGTGCTCAACATGGATCAGGTACCTAGGTACTTTAAAATTGAACCAAAGAGAACCATTACGACGAGAGGCAGCAGAGAAGTGATACTTCGCAAGGGCGGTAGCAGCCACAAGCGCTTCACAGCTACCTTTACGCTTACGGGGGCTGGAGAGATTTTAAAACCTCACGTTCTGTTTTCTAAGTTGAAGAAGAAACCTCGAGTTGCCGACGGTGTTTTAGTGGACGTGAACTCCACCGGTATGTGAAACGACGACATCTTATTGCAGCATGCCAACGACTTTATCTGTAGCAGAAAACAAACGAAGTTTTTCAAGGAACCTGTCCTGTACGTGATTGACTCCTACGCTTGCCATGTCAAGCTATTCGATGAACAGCGTCTAGCGCGCCACAATATTCATGTGTTGCTGGTGTCGCCCAATCTGACCAACATGTTGCAACCTCTCGATGTTTCTATTAATAGAAGCTTTCATACCTTTTATTCCGAGAAATACGACACATACATTGGGAGTGCTCTCGAGGATACCAGTCTCCAGACTAAAGCAGGTAATCCTAAAGTTCTCAGCTACCGCTCTGTTTCTCAATGGATTCTCGACTGAGTAGAAACTAAGACAACAGCAGACATCCAACAGGCGTTCCAGCTGTGTGGCCTCGTACGGCGATCTGAATTCTCGATGTGTGAGCTTCACCCTCCGTTGCGAGAGCTTTTAGCTTCCTCTATGGACCTTCACGATTGGCATGTTCGCTACCAACACCTACTGGACGAAATCGACGACAGAGAGAAGCTCATTATCCAGCAACCATCTTGGTATCTTCCTGAAGATATCCGATCAAGTTTGTTTCTAAGCCTTCGTCACAGTTTAGCGAGCTGGATTCCTGACTACGTTACTGTCTTAACAGAGTACATGATGAAATTGGAGGAGCTGGACGGGCTGTTTGATGATGGCTACATTACTGACGTCCGAAATGGTGATATCGACGGAGGAGAACTTGAACTTTTCGCTGCGTCTCACTTTCATTGCTGCAATATTGAAGTGAAAACACTCGACGAAGACTGCAAGGTAGTTTCCACGTATACATACGATGTTTCAGGAGCAACTCAAACGGCTTGTCTCGCTCAACTGGGGCCTTACTATACCGTGAGGGTCGATGGAATGCACGTATAATAGGTATTGACAATGTTCACTTCAATTTCTTCCGAGTTTTCATATACTACTGCAATTGAATGCCTAGGCGTTCTAATGGAATAGAACGCTCAGTGTGCCTACTATTTTATTTGAAGGCCTAGGCGGTTGATGCGGGGTAAGACGGTAGGTAAAGCGTGCCGTTGCTACCGTTTCCTGAACCCCCCTCCATCAAACGCGTGGCTCCAAACGCACGAAAATGACACCACGGCCACGCAGCGCACAAAAACGCCCCTTGGCACTAGAGGACATCGAAAGCGACGGCGACGGCTCCGTGCGTGACTGGCAACCACTGCCAAGCCCGACCTGTAACGTGGTTACATGATGTGGAACACACAGGGGTACAGAGTACCAGGATAGCTAGCAAACGCTCAGTACATAAGTTGGAGAGTTAACAAGCTCTCTCAGTACGTTGGCTGAAAGCCACACGTTATGCATTTGAGCATGTTTAACTATGCTAGATAGCTAAACCGATTCATTTACCCCTAGGCGGCTTGTCCGCAATAATAGTAAAAAAAAACTTCTAGTTTCGAAGCATCAAAGTTAAGGTATTAACTTTGAGCCCTGTTCGTGGGCTGTAAGTTCCTTTGAAATAAGTCACTCTTTGAGTCGAGCGTCTTCCTCTGACACTAAGGCTACGGCGGCCCCGCTGCACGACCTCTGCTGAAGCGGAGACGGTCACAAGAAGCGCAAGTGAAGAAGCACGTCAGATATGTGTCCTCGCCTCGCCGCCACCACAAGAGACACAATTTCAGTGACAGGACTTCGAGGCCTACCTAGCGCTGTACCAGTGCAGTCACTAATGGTACGCTATTAGGGTATATGTTGTGTTTGTCGATATCGTCTCATTACGTTTTGTTTGTTTTGCTAGATATTTCGAGTGAGAACCAACACTTCAGTGACTGTACGGAATGCTAGGATAGATGCTCAGGGCCCCGCGGCGACATAAATCCCGGCCGAGCTGGATCAGTACGCGAAGACGTACGTGTGTACACACCACGGCAAATACCTATCGCAAGCCACAAGCAAGCCGCCGCGCCAGGAGACTCGGACTTAAGTATGCTCAGCACAGGTACGCGGTTACTACAGTGACATCTTGATTCGTTTTGCAGCGACCCAAACCCAATCTAGCATAATCGGACATAGTTGGGATGATTCGGGTGTCACATGTGTAACTCAGCCACTAACCGTGTCTGTTTGCATTAACTGCTACTATTATTTCAGCTGAATGTATTCATTTAAGAGATTAACAAAGCTGAACACAGGTGTGTGCTTAAAGTGACGAGGTCCCGACCTGAGCACAATCACTCACTGAACGAGTATACATTCAAGCGTCATCCTTCCAACCATATTACTCTCGATGACAGTGCCTTACGGACGGCGAACGAGCTTCGAAAGGCTGGAGCAAAGAAGACCAGTATTTTCAAGCTTCTCAGGGACAATTCAGATAGTAATCCAAAGCCACAGGATGTTTGCAACCTCGTGAGCAAGTTGAAAGCTCGTGAAAACAGAAACGGACCAAGTTCGAGCGCAAAACGATTGAAAAAGGCGGATGACCGAGTTTGGAGATACTGTCGGGAACGTAAGTCGTATACTTGTAGACGATGTCGGGGAAAAGGTATGTGTATTTAGTGCTTCAAATCCATTATCTTCGTACCTTCTTTAAGGTAGCAAGGCTTCTCGCCTAACAAAAGATCATCTCTGCTGAGTCCATCCCCCGGATTTTCCAAAAGGATGTCTTTGATAGATGTAGTGCCAAAGTACTAGCTCTTCAGAAGGCATACAAGGAATCAAGTGATCAAAATCTAGGTGAGAAGGACATTGCCGTGGAAATTATTAGAGTAGGTACCTACTCTACAGAGCCGTTGGGTGTCATGAAGAAGTGACATAAAGCGATGAAAAGCATCCAATATGTGGAAAAGCTATCGTTTGGATTGATACCATCCATTTCGAACTCCAAATGTCCCGATGTTTTTGTGTTGATCTCGATCCTGATGTACAATCCAAGATCAAATCGATTTCTCTACTATCGGTGCAGGTACGCAGTTGTATACAGTCAGGTCCCGCAATGTAATATTTACTATTGTGTAATTGCACATAGGCTGAAGTATTCGAACTCGTCGGTAAGTCTACGTTAGGCGACAGCACGGTCAACAAGCTGCTGTTGAAGTTGCTCGCAGCGAGAGAAGACACGATTGGCATAGACACGTCAATCGCGGGTAACATCATGAATGATTTCTTGGCGGTGGAGACTATGAAGGACGTGTTTGTTGGTATGACAAGCCAAAAGATTTTGATTCCTGTCGTATGCGGCAAGAATCACTGGTGTGCGCTTATGATGGATCTGTCGCCTAAAGAGGTTTTCATCTACGATCCAATGAGCTCAAGCTTTATGGAGTATAAGCTCGACCTCTCGCTGAGAAGATGGTAGCATTGCTACCACATTTCCCTACAAGAAAATACCAAATTCGACCATACACGAGAGAGCTTGGAGTACAGATTGATAGCTACAATCGTGGCATGTATATGCTGCTAGCATTTGAGATATTTGACGATGCCGAAAACCTGTATCTGCTAAGTAGGAAGGTGCTACGGTATTTGCGCTATCGGTACCTGTGCATGTTTATTTAATGCGACAAGCTGTCAATCTTTTGTTATCTTATGTGTTTGACCGCTTCCAGGTTTCTGTATCTCATCTTGCTGCTCTGATAATGCTTTTAGCTTCCGGTTATACGTATAGTTTTGAGGACACATCAGGATGACGCCTCCGGCTTTTCTGGACACTGGCCTGTTCGGC